TTGGCGAAAGTATTTGTTTCCTAGTACACCACATGCATCAATTTAATACTGAGGTACGTACAAATGAGCTCTAAATGTGTAAATTGGCTCTACGTCAAGAGAGGCACTCTTTTTTGCAGGAACTGTTTTCTGTAAATTCCACAACTTAAGCGTGTGATCTTCAGAGGCTGTTATGAGTACCGGCTCGACAGGATGAAACGTGAGTGCCCTCACACCGTCAAAGTGACTCCGTAGCGTGTACTTTGGATTCCACGTTTTCCTGAAAGCTTCTTTGTTGGCTGTGGTAATCTAGAAATAAACGACAATATTGAAAGTCAGTGGGATTAATAAGGTTCATGTTAAATTACTATTAATTATTTGTTAGTAAAATTAAATCCTTATTTCCAATTGGGTAGGAGTTGGTAAATTTTCATTATTCAAATTTCATACTGAACAACTGATGTAATAAAGCTATATTTTCCGATTATATCATCACATTTTGATACGAAGATACAGGCATTTCGTTTACAAAAAGCGACATCGATATAGAAAGTGATTCAATTATAACACAAAATCTTGAGTACCGTATAAATGCACGATTTGCATACAAACCACAGTATTGAAATAACCATATTTAAAAATGCAAACATTTACAGCAAGTCTCAGAAGTATTGGGACAGCCAATTTGCAAACTTGCAAGCGAATTGGCTAACTGCTTTGGTTTTGACTGAACGGTTGGCTTTCCAATCTCGCTGGTGCCGTCCTGTGGTCACGCCCACTCTGTGTGAATCTATATAACAGTAGGGGTCGTCATACTTTAGTTGGATGGCGATTTCGCTTTCAAATATGCCAGGGAAAGTGTTCTTTTTTCTTTGTGTAATGAGGTGTTCGTATACAAGGAATTGTCTACGCAAAAAAACGATGAATGAGTTGAATTTTATGAGCGGTTGGTTTAATGTTACCCCAACAAATCATTTGGATGTGAAAATTTATTTTCTCCCTGATTTGTAGGTAACTATTTCTCAACTTGTCTCTTTATTTAGTTTCAATCAGTGTTCAAGATGGCCCCATATAGTAAATATCGGTGGATTAATTGCATTTATTATATTATCACTTGTACACCAGCTGACTGTGGCCTTTCTCAGACTGACCAGGGAAACTACTTTCCCATTACATATATCACGCTTCGCAAAGCAAATCATTCAGAGGAATCCAGACATGTACCAGGCTACGAAAAAGCATTCTATGTTCCCTAATGAAATATAGACTCGCTCAGAGTGGACGCGACCATGAGTCAATGCCAGCGAGATTCGAAGGGCCAACTGTTTAGTCAAAACCCAAACAGTTAGCCAATTCGCTAGTGAGTTTGCAAATTGGCTGCCCCAATACTTCTGAGACTTGCTGTAAACTATTATTTGAATGCTTTCACTATAAAATGTGTTTTGAAAAACAACAAATTACAGCATACGACAAATAAACTAACAGATGTTACATGGTGTAGACTGTTCCCAGCATGCAATGCAGTTCACTATAACTAAATAGCAAAGCAGTTTGGGAATGCAACAGAACTGTGCAAACAAACAGTAAATAACAGTAACAATACACAAAATGACAAGCAAAGAATGCTAATATGACATAATATTCATAATACAAATAAATGCTGTATCAGCTGTGATGTAATAAATGGGCCTACATTAGAACATTTAAAATGAAAAAAGAATGATGAGTTTGGGAACAAACGTGTTTAGTTCATATCAAGACACGTTTCTAACAGAGCAAATACAGAAAACACAATTACAACTTAATAATGTTCATGTAAGATAATAATGAGATTTGTAAATACTATATATCATACCACCTAACATTATTTTAGAGTGAATTTCATTTTAATTTAGTTTTAACAATTATAATGCAAAACGTACTCTGAGGTGTACATGTTAGGCTGCTTTTGTATCATGTTTATAAGTCTGATGTAGAGAATACATACACATAACATGAAGAAACTTTCTTTTGGTTGAAATTAAATGTAGATGAACTGTGATGCAGTAGTACATCAAACTAAAACAGTAACAATATTTATAGACCAGTAATTTACAACAAACATACTACGACAAAACAAAACAGAAACTTGGTATTTGAAAACAATTTCAATAAAGGGTATGAACTGTAGTTTTTTGTGATTTTTTTAACTTGTGTAATACTGTCTTTGTCTTACCAACACATGGGATGTACAATGTTATGATGTTCGTGATACACAAATGCAAACAGTGCCTTGACAGCTGGAAAATTATTTTTTGTCGATCAACAATTCATTTTCCAGCTATTTGCATAATATTATCATAAATATCACACATCACTATGACAATACTCATTTGGTACCAGAATGAGGAATTTTGGCTCAGTATTGGATTAAATGGTTGAAAGATTGGTGAAAAATACATCACATGCCACTTTAGCGCTTAAATAATAGAGAAACTAACGAGACGTTGTCCTGAACTGAATATGTGGTGTTCACATGTGTAGAAAATTGCAGAGTTACCGTAGTTTTAACTTACTGCTGGAAAATTTGTGAATAGATTTTAACCCTGTTTTGACCCGGGCCATTTTAGCTCAACTGATCTTGGTCTTGGTCTCAATCCCAAGTTTTGTGTTCAACCCTGAGGTGCGACACATGTGAACAAAGTCACTGGGATGAAACATTGCCCAGTAACATTGATCCGGAAATAGATGAATAAAGGCATGAAAAGGTGTGAGCACCTAGTTATTAACCATGAACCACTGTGGTGTGTGATCAGACAGCAGGTTCAGCCCACTGAATATTCATCACCCCTCCATTTCTCTACACATGTGAACAAGGTTCTTTTTAAAAAAAATATTCAAGAAATCAAAGAAAAGAACCTGCATTCAATATGATTATTAAAATCCAGGCTCTAATGAACAATATCTTTGAAATTTAATAAACATTAACACATTCCATGCCCAACTGATTTCTGGTAGGTTCGTAGAAGCTTTCTGGAGGCAATTTCAAGGAGAAACACAATTCTTTTGATTCTGATTAAAGGAAAACTAAAACATCAAAATACAATGAAATAGAATGAAAAATAAAAGTAAGACAAAAAAACACTTTGACAGGTGAAGCTTTGATTAGTGCATCAGCCAACAGTCCAGTGCGTGTGCATTTCTCACTACATTTATATTTCTGACATTGGGATATTTACTGCTACTCACTTCACATCTTAGCGGCTCAGCCTCATCAGTTACCGTTAGTCCAGCCAGTTCTCCCAATCCTACTTGCAGAGCTGTCTCAAGAGCTAAGTCTGTATCAAATATAACAATGGCAATGGATTGTCAAATTTTTGTAACAAAATGTATGTTTATTTGAGTGTAGACTTACATCATAGCTAAGGACGTCTGCCTCATTAGAGACCGACAGACCAGCGAGGTCTCCCAGGCCATACGTAGTCTCTATAGCAGAATCATCGGAACCAATAATACCGACCACCGGTCGTCTGGACCCTGCGTCAAAAGGCATTATCCCACCGTCTAGTGGTAAATTAATACAAGTACTAAGACTATCATAACATGCAATAAAATAACAAAATCTTGATTATAACATAAAAATGTTAATTTTAAAAAAAAGTATGAGAACAAATGATACTGCACATTCCTATTACAGTAAAGACTAAATTTCAGAATCACAAGTGAAGGATTTGAGTTAGTTCACCAAGGTTATACTGTACTGAGATCCCATGGTGTACTATACATGTACGTCGGTGTCATCTAAGGACGCACGAAGTTGAATTTCATTTCCACTTTAAAATCACACTATCTGAACAGGTTCGTCTTTAGTTGTATTTGTTTCTAGCAAAAAGCTTACATGTAGCTTAGAGCAGAATGATAGATCACAAGGTAAAGAAATGATATCAGCGCTTTTATATAAAAAAAATTATCTAAAAAGCAAACATAAGAGACTATTTTCTGCGTGTATGAATTTCATTGCGTCTATATAACAAACAGCAGCAAGAGTTTATTCAAGACATCGGTGCAAACATGAAATTATATAGTTTTGTTACAGAAGTGTTTAACAAGGAGAAATGATGATGATGATGATGATGGTGGTGGTGAGGGACGGTAAGTAGTTACCTCCTTCTTCAGGGAGATCTATATCTGAACGTCTCCCACTCCGAAGAGGTGAGCCAGAACTATCAAGAGGCATATCCTCTTCACCTTGTAGATTTGCTAACATAGATTGTAAAGTACTCCTTTTTGGACCTAGTGATAACATATATAAAGATTCAGTCATGCAACTGTCTCATTCATTCACTGCTCAATCGGTCAGTTTAACGATGTTACCATTCACCACAGATGCTGCAAGCTGGCCCAAAACTTTATATCCACAGACATGTGACCTTTCAGTCTGATTACCAGAATACACATGTACAGAAGAATAACAGTCTCTCATTGATCATGATGAGCAAACGGAGCTATCCATTCAGATTTAAGACAAGTCGGCTAGGGTTGAAGTTTAACATTTATAAACAGCACATTAATAATTATTAAAGTATAAATTAGAATTATCATCAACATTGTTACATAATTAAACAATTTAAAATTATCTCAAACTTTATTAGACACTGAGAGTAGGAGAACATTTCCAGACAATACTTACGCGACACAGCTTTTTTGCCTTTCCTTGCTTTCTTGTAATCTTCTTTAAGTTTATTAATAACACTTTGATCTACGCTACCCCATCCTTCACCAGTTGGTGACAAATCACCTTTCTTATCTGTAAAAGACAAGTGAACACAACATGAATCCTATTGCATAGAAATAGTGGGCGAGCACAGACTACTACAGACAATACACTGCACTTGCAAAGTGATCAGAATTCAGAAAGTTTCAGCTTTTGATTGAAGTTGTGAACTCACCTATTGCCCATTCTGTGTGCGCGTGTGCTTCTCCTGCACCTTCTCCTGCTTCCTGTACAAGGAAATCAAATTCTGCTAAAGCTTCTTCTGTTTCTGCATCAGCAGCTAGAACATCCTCCATACCTGCCATGCTTTCATTACCAACTGTTGGCTAGACAAACAAATTAACATACTCTTAGCATTTATATGAGAAGAGGGCAAATTTCAGAACACTATCATAATTATCAATTTTTTCTGGGTTTAAGGGCTAATCCCAATGCCTGAAAAATAGACATGTAACTTGTTTCAAAATGTTTCACTCACAATTAGCATAATTCTCAGTACCTTCATTACAGACTATTACAACTTACAAACTTCCAGGTCAACACAGTTGCAGTTTTAAAGAAAACTCTCATAAAGCAACACACAAAACAGAGCAAATACATTCTGCACTTTTGTATTTGAAGTACTGATAGTTAAAGAGCAAAGAGCAAGAGCCATTATGGGTCCCATGCAACTTTAATATGTACACATGAAATACCAACATGTAC